ACCTAACGCAGTCGCGGAATCAGGGAAGATGGCTGTGTCGCCGAAAATCGCTCCGTCGATGCTCTCTTCGGACTTTGCAAATCTCGCGGCGGAGGCCAAGCGGATGATTGATTTGGGCGCCAACTGGCTTCACATGGACATCATGGTACCACCTTTCTTCCCCCTCCCAAAATCTCAACTCTATATATTACATGGTCGTTTGGAATTTGTAGAATGTTCCAGATTCCACGAAATCGATTCTTCGTCTGAATATCGTTTGTTAATAATCTGTGAGAATCCGAACGATCGTAGTCATGAATCTGGGAATTTGAGACAAAAATGGAAAGAAATTGCTCTGCTTCTGGAATGATCCATATTACTGCGCTTCATCAGCCATATTCTTTACAGAATTCCCCCTAATATATGTATTTGAAACATACTACAAGTGTTGATGATCAACTTCACCTGCTATTGAATGTGACTGCCTTAGTCTGAATCATCATCTATTGATGACTTGTATCTGCTCTTGGATTCTAAAACTTCTGGTCGTCATTCTCTAGGATTGTACCAAACCCCTTGCTTGTTTCATACTTACCCCTCTGCTATTTCCTTTGCAGGACGGGTATTTTTGCTGCCTTTAGCTGTGTGTTTTTACTTATGAATTATTTAGCACCCGGCCGGGTCAAGTAAATTTTGTTTCAAGATAGTCAGTCCGTATAGCTCTGTTTCTCGGGCAGGCATTTTGTTCCCAATCTCACAATTGGTGCTCCTGTCATCAAGAGTTTGAGAAAGCACACAAAGTAACGCTCTCCTCCTTCCCTTGAATTAATAATCTCTGACATGTTCCACTGTAGTGATTTATGAAAACTTTATCTTTCCCTTCATCACAGTGCATATCTTGATTGCCACCTAATGGTGACGAACCCCATGGATTACGTGGAAGGGATGGCTAAAGCCGGGGCGTCTGGTTTCACATTCCACGTTGAGGTGGCCAAAGGTATAGACCATCCTTAAAATCTTTTTCTATCTCATTTTAATGATCTCGGCTTGTATTGCTTCTATCAGAGAATTGGCAAGAACTCGTGGAGAAGATTAAGTCTTCGGGGATGAGGCCAGGTGTGGCTCTAAAGCCTGGGACACCTGTTGAAGAAGTCTATCCTCTGGTATGAATCTTCTTCTGTTTAAGAGGAGGATCCTTTGGCATTATGCTCGTTCTAGAATGCGATCGAGTGATCATTCTTCTTGACCTTTGACAGGTTGAAGGGAAAACTCCGGTTGAAATGGTTCTTGTGATGACCGTGGAGCCCGGATTTGGAGGCCAGAAGTTCATGCCTAACATGATGGACAAGGTTATGCTGGGTCTCAGCCTCTTGGAAATGTTTAAACTTGCGAGATTTCCCTCGTAATGTCAGTGACATATTTATTGATGTATTCTTGGTTATGTACGAGATAGGTCCGGGCATTGAGGCATAAATACCCAACACTTGATATTGAGGTAAGGCCTCTCAATCTACAGATTTTGATGTTTTTCATTAAACTGAGTCCATCTTTTGGTTCTTCTGGATCAGGTGGATGGCGGCTTAGGCCCTTCGACAATCGACGCAGCGGCTGCAGCCGGGGCCAACTGTATCGTCGCCGGAAGTTCAGTGTTTGGAGCTCCGGAGCCAGGGGATGTCATATCCCTCCTGCGGGCCACTGTTGAGAAAGCCCAACCCATCATCAATTAAGAGAGTTCCCGTTTCTAAACGTAAGCTCTTTATGCACCCAAGAAAGAAATATGTAATTCTAAGATAGTATAATTTAGCTTTAATAGTTTCTGTATTTATCTTTTCAAGAATGTAAGCTGCACGTGGTGGCGGTGGTGCTTAGACGGCGTCGTATTCTCATCGGAATATGGTATCTCTTCGTTTCTCTCAGGGTTAAAAAGTTTGGTTCTTAATTTTAAATGTGATTTCGTGAATCGTGATATTTATAGTCTTGGTTCCAAGAACTGTAACAAGTCATTTTCAAGTATTAATTCCCTTCACACGCATACATCATGACATTGTTTACAGTCCGGGATTTTACTAGTTTATTTGACAGGAATTTGGTACTAAGTGTAGTGTGCAGTGGATATTAGTAGTGTTTCGAATAAATAAAATCTTCTATCGTTGAAATATGAAAAGCACTAATAATAGTTACCATTACATTGTTTTTGCTTTACTCTTTATCCTTGTTTTTTTCTCTCTTTGGGGTCAACTTGGGGATTTATTGCAAAATGGACCTAAAAGAGTACTTAGCCTTTTGCGCTTTGATGCTTTGTCGTTGCTTTGTTTTGCATGTCTTTTCAGTTTCTTGATAATGTTTTTGTGTCTTTCTGTTTTTGTTTCCCCTCTACTATCAATTCCCAAATCATTTTCCACACACTTATGTTTTGGATTTTACATGACCGAGAAGAACCATTGGATCTTAAAGTTCTGGTTGTATGACTCGGCTTGAAACCTTTAAAGCAGACTTATCATATGCTTAAAAAAACGATCAATCAATAAGGCAGTATTACTAGACTAACATAAGCTTGATTCGCGTCTGAACTTATTATGGTTATTAGGTCGCAAACTATAAAATTTAGGTATGGGTCAATTCTGAGAATCTTTATTACCGAACTCTATGAACTATTGCACATGCTTTTTCCCCCATATCAAAATTTATCATTAAGCTATAGAAACACGGGCATGACTCCAAGATGTTACCCCCCAACTCTGCCTAAACCTTGTTCCGAAACAATCAAAATCACATATCTAGATAATATGATCTTCTTAGGACAAAGTGAGTTTGTACCATTTAGATTCACTTAGCTTGGACTTTGCACTTTGTGAATGTTGTTGAGTTTATGAAGAACAGGTTCCAAGCACAAGAAGAACATGTCCTTTTTCTAATTTAATTATTATTTAAAGAAAACTTACTTGGGATTCATAACCACCCCTCTTGTCGACAAACCTCCAAGGCTCCAAGATCCATTTTTGTTTCCCAAATATCTCATACATAAATATTAAATATGATCAACCAAGTTCAAATCCGCATAATGAAGAGAATAATTATTATCTATATAGTAAGTGTAAGCTATATGTACAAGTACAATGTAGTAGTAATAGACAAAATAATTTCCTTTGCAACACCAACAAATACTGGTTTCCTTTTAACGCAACAAGTAACATCAATTTTTTGTTTAGATGCGAAAAAAACCATCCCTACTTTTTATTCAATAAAATCATAAATTGTTGGAGCCCATCAACTTTTGAATCCATAATTCCTCTTCCTAGCCAATATATATACATGCATAAATTGTAACGCCGCATCTAATGTAATCGACATGGCTGGTTCAGTAAGTAGACAGTACATGAAAAGTCTTGTAGTG